AATAGACCTTAAACTTATATAATTACAGTCAATTACAATTTTTTTTCTTTTTTATTTGAGTAGTGATGATTGAATCGATTTATTGGAGTGAATAATTTAATTGAAAGTTTTTGATTAATTATTTATACACAATACAAATAAGTAAAAGACTTACTTTTTTTATTTATTGTATAAATAAACTAATTAAAATAAATAAATAAAAATTTATTATAACAAATTGGTACAAATATCTTTTTTTATCTTTTCATTTTCAAAACAGATGTTGCATCATGTAGCAGCTGTAAAGCATACAGATGTGGAATCCCTTAATAAAGAATCATGCTAATGGTGGGTCCTACCATATGTCTCCATTTAATTGCTTTGCAACTACTCTTTAATCCAAAAGTATGATTTTTTATGTTTTTGAAAGATAAATTTAGAGAATATAAAATATTTTTTTCGTCTTAAATTAAGTGTTATATATATATATATATATATATATATATATTTTGTTTGTTTCAAAATAATAGTCCACTTTCCTTTTTCAAATAATATATTTTACATTTTTTTATATATGTGCTTTGAGTTTTAAATTTTAAATTTGAATATTCAAAACTTAAAAGGACAAGTTAGTAATTTTTCAGACAGACAATGTATGTCTCACATGTCCTCTTAAAAATTACTATTCCCTATAAGCGACACTTAAATTGGGACGGAGGGAGTAATGTTTAGAGAATAATAAAAGATAGTTCTTTAAAAAATGACATTTTTATAATTGAGTTTTAGAAAACAGTTTTTAGAAAACTGAACCAACTAGAGTTTTTTTCTATACAGTTTTAAATTTTCTGAGAAAAGAAAACTGTTGTCATAGTTACAAACCAAGCAAGGACAGAGGTCCAAGTCCAAATAGCTATAATGTCTTATTCTTCCAAAAAAACTTGGGTATTGTGGGCAGGTTAGTGATAAAGGCAATCTCAGAGTTTTTTTTTAGAAATGGGAAGCTACTTGCAGAGGCAAACAATATATACATAGCCTTGGTCCCCAAATGCCAAAACCCATCCACACTCCATGATTACAGGCCAATTTCTTGTGTCAACACCTTATAAAAATGCATCTCCAAATTGCTTGCTGCAAGGTTACAATTAACACTGCCTCACTTAATTGATCAATCCCAATCCGCATTTGTTCCTGGGAGGAGAATCACATACCCATTCTTCTTGCTCACGAGTTGCTTAGAGGGTATCATAAGTATGGTAAACTTGTTAGGTGTGCAATCAAGGTGGATCTCAAGAAAACATTTGATTCAGTGAAGTGGAATTTCATCATTAGCTGCCTTTCATTACACAAATATCCTCCTAAATTCATCTCTCTGATCAAGGCTTGCATTTCTTCCCCATCATTTACAATTGCCCTAAATAGTGAATTTCAGTGATTTTTTAAAGGTCAAAAAGGTCTTAGACAAGGAGATTCAATCTCTCCCTTCCTTTTTTTATCATTGTTATGGATGTTTTTTCTTCAATAGTGAGCAACTATGTGGGAAGGGTGTCCTCTTTTAAATATCACTGGAGGTGCAATCAACACAGAATTACTCAATTGTCCTATGCAGATGATTTGCTCCTATTTTGTCATGGAGACATATGCTCAGTCTCAGTCCTCAAGTCTGCCCTGGATCTTTTTTGCTCAATGTCTGGCTTGGACATTAATCTTTCAAAGAATGAAGTTTACCTTTCTGAAATTAATGGCCAAACACAACATGACATTATTTCACTACTGGGGATTGATTTAGGTACACAACCAGTGAGATATCTAGGAGTGCCATTGATCTCAACCAATTTAATGGCATGGCACTGCAGTTTATTGGTAAGCAAGATCACTCATAGAATCTTTAACTGGACTTCCAAATCCCTTTTTTATACAGGTAGACTTCAATTGATTAAAGCAGTTCTGGTCTCCACACAGAACTATTGGTGCAATATTTTCATTCTGCCCAAGGGAGTCATTAATGAACTCAATAAGATTTTCAGAAGGTTTCTATGGTCTGGACTAAAAATGAAATCTTCTGGTAGTAAAGTTGCTTGGAATTTGGTCTGTAGGCCTAAGCATGCTGGAGGGTTGGGGACCCCCAATTTGGAGATTGCAAATAGGGCTGGGATCATCAGATTCTTTTGAGACCTCTTAACAGATGACTCAAACAGACTTTGGGTGTTGTGGTGCCATTCTCACCTTCTTAAATCCAGGAACCTATGGACACTCAACTACCCATAGCCTTGCTCCTGGAGTTGGAGGAAAATCCTTCAATTGAGACACCCAGCAAGATTACTTATCAAGCATTCCACAGGCAATGGTGCTTCTACATCATTTTGGTGGGATAATTGGGCTCCTAGAGGACCACTTTGTTCAAGATTTCCTATTACAATCCTAACTGACTGTGGACTCAATGAGGCTATAAAGGTGGATTCTTTCACTATCAACAACAATTGGGATTTCCCTCATTCCACAACCAACAGCATACCTGAACTACTCAACTTACCTGCTCCATGTGTATCCAGAAGTGACACTAAAAGGTGGACAATCTCACCTTCAGGCCTCTACTCCTTCAAACACACAGTTGCACACCTTTCAGGTGAGTTTCCTACTGTTCCATGACATAATCTGGTCTGGAACTCTCCGACCATCCCTAGAATAAAATTCAACCTTTGGCTGGCTGCTCAATCCAAACTACCTACCCTCGACAGCAAATTAATGGTTTCACACCATAACATTTGCCCTCTGTGCAACATGTCAACTGAATCCCATTCCCACTTATTCTTCAATTACCCTTACATATCCCCTCTATGAAGTTTTATCAAATACAAAAGTAGCATACAAACAACAATTGATAATTGGGATACTATTGTTTTATGGATAAGTAATCAATGGAAAGCAAATACTTCTATCAATCTATATAGGAAACTATGTCTATCTTCTATGGTATTTCATACCTGGGAAGAGAGGAATGCTCGAATTTTCAGAGGCCAGAAATCTTCACAAAGGGTGGTATGCGCTAAGATCTCCTCCACAATTGTAGCAATTCTAAAGCTTGGTTGTCTCAAGGAATGTTCCTCTTCTAGATTAATCCTCAAAAGATAGGACATCTCCCTTTCTCGCTGCAGACCACCTCCAAGACCGCCGGATTAATTTCAGGCGGCATAGCTGCTGCTGCGTAACCACACGATTGATTTGAACCTCCATTAACGGCTCTGGCAGTTAATGGTAGTTAGCTTGTGTTTTGTTATCTTGTGTTTGGGTTGTCCCACGGTTGGGCTTGTATTGCAACCTTATGGATTGGTTTCTTTTGGCCAAAGGCCCACCATTTGTACATTTTATTCATATATGAAAATTGCTTTAATTTTCGAAAAAAAAAAACCAAGCAAGACCTAAGAGTTCGAGTATATTAAAAACAAGTTGATCAATATAAAAAAAAAAAAAAAAAATCGGGATTGATTTTACTAAATTGATTCACTTTTAGATTGAAAACTCACATAAGTGTTTTCAAATCACCTCCCTTAAACCACATGAAATGTTGATCGCAATACCTAAGCAGATTTAATTTTTTTAGAATTTCAACCAAATATTAAACCATTCACCAGTGTTAAAAGATCTTTTTGTGTAAAATATATACAATATGTAAATTTTTTTTAATTATTTTTTATTTTTTATTTTTAATAGTATGTTAAGATACATTATCACCTCACCAATGTGTAAAATTGTAGTGTATTTTGCACAACCCTTTTACACAATCACATCAGCATATTTATCTCTCATTCCTCTTTTTCATTCTATTAACGAATCAATCCTATATTAAGTAGGTTTGTATAAGTTATGTAGGGTCTTGGATATGACACGTAGTTCGTGAAGTTGAATATCAAAGACACTAGGGGCGAAGGGAGAGATGGGCAAATAATTTAATAAACATTTTACCAAAATGCCCTAACCAGGTCTAGTGATCACACTTATTAAATTGCATTGAGGGGATATTCTGTTACTCTAAAAAATAGTATCGATTTCATGTTGAACATTTGTACTCCCACATTCCAACATTAGTCACCCAAGATGCTATGATTTTTTATTTTTTTTTTATCTCAATCCAATAATTAAATGTAAAGAGTTAATAATTTTTGCCACAAGATAGCTCTTTTAATTAACTATGTAAATCACTTAATCATTTTATACTTTGAATAATGTTGTGAGGACATGGTAAGAGTCGTGAGCTTTTTTTTTAACTACTAAATCAAAATAAAATTTGAAATCTATCCAGAGTGAAATAAATTATTTAATAAATATTTCAATTCAGTAGAGAGAGTTCATGACCTTGTTGTAAGAGTATTTTCTTAATTCCATTGCTCAAGCTGCTTGCAGTTATAAATGTTCACGTATTATAAAGTTCACCTATTTCATTAAGGAGTCATCATGATGGGCAATTGGGTACAAAGAAGACTGTCTTTGAAATGCTAAAATGCTTTTTATTTTATTTTTTATAAACTTTTTGCGACTCCAATAGACATTATTATTCAAGTAGTACACAAGATACAGTCTCTCTTCTTCAAGTATTGTCACTACTCTCACGGTCGTTTAGAAGTGCCCACTACTCATGGTGGGATTCACTCATGGAAGGAGTCACTAAATTGCTGTTCGTTAGAGTTAGATTAGTGAATATAAAGAGTTGAAGGCGGACACTCTAAAATCTGTAATGGAGACATCTGCAGTAGTGGCCAGTCTATTGAAATACTATAATTTTTCTTTTTCATAAAAAAGATATTTGAACAAAACATTTTAAAGGTTGCAAATAGTAGGGCTGCAAGTTAGGTTGGCCCAAACCAGCTCAATCTCAACCCAATCTCAACCCAAATCGGGTTGGATTGGACCAACCCGAATTATACCCATCATGGATTATGGTCATAACCCGACCATAACCCATGTTGCAGCCCTAGCAAATAGTAGTACGAGAATAAAAGGAAACCACAGGAGCTTTTCGTTTATAGCAGACCAACTACATCCCATTGACCAAGACATTATCACCCAGTTCTAGCCACATATTTAAAAAGTGAAGCAACCAACTACAAAATGCTGAATGATCGATTAAGGCCTACCCACAAAGCTTACAGAGAGGAGACCATGGACGTGAAGGAAGTGCTCTACATGGGCAAAGGAGGAGGAGAAAATAGCTATGCTAAACTCTCCACTTTTACGGTACATTTCATCACTATCTCAATTTTTTTTTTTTTAGTCTTTTTATTTTTTTCATAAATTCATTTAGTTGACTCAAACTATTATGTGAAACTAGAGTTGACAAAAAAATATACAATTACACAATTTTATTTTTCCTTAAAAATAATTTTTAAAAAATTCAACCAGTTACTCTTTCAAATTCGGACTTTCTGGACTGGATTTGAGATGGGTAAAAATTGGTATTTGAAATCCCATCGATTTAGAATTCTATTTTTAATTTTGTCTTTCCAAACAACATAAATGCTTAAGAATCCGGTTTCCAAATCCAAATCCCACCAAATTCCTTGGTGCCAAACACAGCCTAGTGTGCCTATTTGATAACATCAAAATTGTTGTAATGTGTGCAGCAAATGGTGACTTCCATCACCAAACCAGTACTACAAAATGCAGTTCAATCTCTATTCACTAAAGGATTGCACCAACAGAAAGTTCTTAAAATAGCTGATTTGGGTTGTTCAGCTGGTCCAAACACATTCTCTGTGATTTCAACAGTAAAAGATAGTGTGGAAAAGAAATGCAAGGAAATGAATTGCCAAACGCCTGAACTTCAGTTCTACTTGAATGATCTTCCCGGTAATGACTTCAATACCCTTTTTAAAGGCTTGCCTAGTGTCTGTGACCAAAGTGAGGGTGCCTCCTGCTATGCCATGGGAGTTCCTGGCTCCTTCTATGGCCGGCTTCTCCCTCGGAACAGCTTGCATCTTGCTTATTCCTCTTATAGTGTTCATTGGCTCTCTCAGGTACACACACACACACACACACACACACACACATATACACATTTGTGTTAGCTTCATATAAAATTGACATTGCCAAGTTCTACACTTCAAAATTTCAAATAGGGGTTTCTGTTTTCTTTTAAGTATAACAAAAATGAGAAATAATTGGGTAGCTACCGTAGCTGATACCACATAATCCAAAATACTATCCCACTTAGAGATGCTAAGTACAGTTGTGACTGTATAATTAAGCACCCCTTTGACTATGTAGACTTCACTATAGGACTCACAAGTAGGGCTGCAAATGAACCGAGTTATACATAAACAGTTCGGGCTCGGCTCCTTAAGGGCTCTGTTCAAGCTCGTTCGTTTAGTAAATGAGCCGAACCTGAGCTCAATTTCAAGGCTTGTTTAGTAAACGAGCCGAGCCCGAATAACGTTGGGCTCGGCTCGTATAGGCTCGTGAATATGGGCTCATTAAGGCTCATGAACAAGGCTCGGGCTCATTATATATCTATACATATTTATATATATATAGCAACGTTGATTCAGGATATTGATTTTGAGAATACATGTGACTTTGAGCTTTGTTTTTGGGCTTATGGGTTGGGTTTTGCTGATTGAAGCTGAAAGCATCACCGGGTGCCTTATTTGGGTTGTATCATTTAATTTGGGCTTGTCTATGTTGTTGGTTTGATGTACATTATTCTTATATTTATAATAAAGTTTACCTTCTGAATATTTTATTTTGTGAAATACTATTTAATTTTGAGAACAATTTTTTTAATTTTTTTTTTTTTTAAAAAATAATTTTATTAAACGAGCCGAACCCGAGCTCAAGTTTTTGAGCTCGTCATGCGCTGAGCCCGAGCCCGTGCATACCCCATATACAAACGAGCCGAGTCCGAGCAGACCCAAGCTGGACTCGGTTCATTTGCAGCCCTACTCACAAGATCTAAGGTTGTGCTTATACAGTGACAATTATGTTTAATCAGATTATGTTATATGGACAAATTGTCGATCATTTTTCACATCAACAGTCAAAAGCAACATATTTCGGATTGGACAACGATCCCACATCTACACCCTAGTGGCCTAGTATCAAATAAAATTTTCAGAATTTGAATTGAATTTCTTCCAATTCTGATTCGAAAGTGACAATTAGGTGATCCCAAACAAAATTTTATCTCATTATCAAAAGATGTTGACAGTTTAATAGTACTAACCATTGCCAGTTGAATCTATGTAACATGCACAAGCTAATTAATTACTTCAATCGAAATTGGTGAAAGAAAAGGTACCAAAAGGACTCACAAGCAAAGAAGGCTTGCCATTGAACAAGGGGAATATTTACATATCCCAGACAAGCCCTCCTATTGTAAGAGAAGCTTACCTAGCTCAGTTTCAAGAAGATCTCACCTTGTTCTTGAAGTGTCGCTCTGAGGAGATGGTACCCGGTGCTCGGATTGTCCTCATACTTCACGGTAGGCAATCCTCCGATCCATGGGGCAAGGTGAGCTGCTACCCTTGGGAGCTATTAGGTCAGGCCATTGCTGAAATGGTTTCACAGGTAAATTTCATTTTTTTCCCATTCATTGTGATGAAATCCGAAGAATTTTGAGTTTCAAATCGAATAAATCTTAGGTCTATTTGATTCAATTTTTCAAGAAAGGTTTAGGTACGTTATCTGAAAACAGAAAACAACAAATTGTTTAAAAATTACAGTTATTTTAAGATGTTTTTGGTATTTATTTATTTTTAACAGGGGTTGATTGATGAAGGGAAATTTGATTTCTTCAATGTGCCCTACTATACATCATCACCTGAGGAGGTACAAAATATAGTGGAGAGGGAAGGTTCATTTGGAGTTGAGCATTTAGAGATTTTTCAACTTGAAGTTGCAGACAAGGAAGAGAGAGATAAGTGGGCTAAAGGTCAAAAGGTAGCAAAGAGAATTAGGTCATTCTCTGAATCATTTGTTTCATACCAGTTTGGAGAGGAAATAATGGACAAATTGTATGATAAATTTACTCATCTAGTAGTTGAGGACTTGGCCAAAGAATCAACAAAGGGCACAAGCATTATTGTTATGCTTAGCAAGGGTGGGTAGTTTAGTGTGTGTAGAACTGACCTTCCTCTCTATTTATGTCATGGGATGGGACAATATAAGCAAACGTTATATTAGATTGCCCACAAATTTAAAACAGTGTTTTTTTTTTTTTTTTTTTTTATGCAAAAAATGACATTTTAATTAGACAAATGTTATGCTTGACATATCAATAGGTTCTACCTTATATGGTATAAACTCTCGTCTCTTTTGAAGCGGAACAAAAATATGTAGCGGGTGCATGTGTTTGTTTCTTAATTGGAGAGGTGGCTAACTTAATTTGAAAAGTGACTTAAAAGTAATTTGTTTGACTAACCAGTTTTTATTGATCCACTATGCAAAATATAATCTTCTTATATGTCAAACAATTCACTTTGATATTCCGGCATTTACCCTCGCAAGTTGAGAGATGGGATGATGAAATGGACTAGCTCTTTGGTAAGAGGGACATACACGTAACCAAGATCGATCACCATTACATTATTTTTTTCCCACAGAAAGTAAGGCACGACCTATGTCTTCACGGCCCAAGCCCTTGTACCCATAGACAAGACTGACTTGCAGAAGTGCACTAGGGAGCGGCTAAAGGGGCAACAGAGGACATGGCGGGATAGGCGAGATAGTGTTGGTGTAGAGAAGAATCCTTGCCACCAATTGAGGAGCTCAGTGGCAATGTCTGAGGTGAGAGGACCATGAGCGTGGATATGCTCATGGAATTTGCTGGAGGACTAGTAGGGGAGTCGACGAGCTAGAGTCATGCAGGCTTGTGGACGACTTTGACTTTTCTGTAGTCGGCAAAGAAGAGGTATGCCTTGTCAGTGGAGGGTGACAGAGGGACAACAAGGCCAATGTCACCACCAGTAGTGGTGGCAAGCAGGGTGGCGGAGCTATGTGGCAAGGGTTGTTGGGCGCCAGGGGATGCTGCAAGTGGTATAAAGGTGCCCGTACAAGATTAGTAGTGCAGAATAAGCTCGCATGTAAAAGAAACATGCGGCAGGATTTTGCAGGATGAGCGTCAAGTCTCGGCGATAATTGGGTAGGGGAGAATGTCTCATCTCGCATATTTGCATAGGGGATTCGGCACGCAGATCACAAGTGATGATGACTCTACATGACATGAAGAATGTATAGTTTTACAGTCTTTTACATTTGTACGAAGATAGTGGAGTATTTAAAGAAAGTTGGAAGATTCTAAAACGTTATAGAGATTGTAGAATTGGTAAAGGAAAAAAAAATCTAAAATAGGCAAGAGTTTTGTAAAGTGTAAATATGCATAGAACTTTATGTAGAAATTTCTAAAAGGTTGGTAGGATGTCTATATAAGGAGATTTATAATCAAAAAAAAAATTTAAGAGTGAGAAATGAAAGTAATTGTGACGGAAAAAGCGTCACTAATACATAATATTCTGGAAACACAATATCCTCAATTTTGTAAAAGCAGATGCTATCCAACAAGAGAGATGAGAAGCAATGAATACAAAAATTCATGATCTACTTGAGTTGTTATCTTACTAAAACTTGATAACCCATTTCTTTCTCCAAGTACTGTTGGAGCGGAACGAGGCAACTTCAAAAAAGCAGCAAGTTTGACTATCCAAATTCTTCACGTTATCAGACTCCAAAAACCACAACAGTTGGTTAGTTGACAAGGTCACTTAGTCCTAATATCATGCGTGATTATGCTTCGGACTTATCGGATCTTGGGCGGGGTTAATCCAACAAACAAAAAATAAAATAAAATATAAACAACAAAAACTTAATTGTACGGGGAAGAAGGATGAGTTTCTTTTTTCTTTGGCTTATTACTCAATATTTTAGAATAAATTACACTTACATTTCTTCAAACTTAAGTTTGGTACTCTTGTTTTGGCGTATTATCTATCTTCTCTAGTTTGCATATTCGTAACAAATACCCTATCAACACTAACCGGCCCATTAATATTGGTCGATGCGGATTAGCCAAATTTAAAAATTTATATGACGAAATATACTTAAATCTTTTTCAATTAAAGTTATGTTTATATAATATGATAGAGACATAAGAGTAATTTCATGTCACAGACCGAGAGGTAAGCGTAAATTATCCATATTTTTACTAGCGGCAAGCCTCAACTTTCAGTAGGCAAAAGTGGTGAAAAAACAAGGGACAATTCTACAAAAATGGTATTTTGGTGGTCAAATATTAAAAAGGTAGAGTCAAAATCAAGTTTTCCAAATTAATGAAGTTATATGAAATGCAACATGGACATAAAAATTTATTATAAATTTTCTTTTAATTCTTAAACTGCCTTGTTGCGAAATGACCCAACTACCCATTCAATTGATTGCCCCCCCCCCCTCTCTCTCTTCATCTCTCTTTATCACTTTAGGATTTCTTATTGAGTTATTGTTGACGCCTCTCTGTCTCGCCGTTGACACAGCTGAAGAAGAGAAAAATCTACTACCAACGAATACTAACTCGGGTCATTACTAGATAACACCGGCAAGTCACTCATTTTCCAATCTTTTCTTAGTTTCACCTCTCGGCCATTACAGTATTGTAATGGGTGATTTGTCTTGGACTCTTGGTGCTTGCTTCAAATATCTTGGTTTCTTTCGCCTTTGATTTACTGGTTGATTGCCTGTTTGAAACTGCACTATTAATTTTCTTTCATTCTTGGTATCAAAGCAAACAAAGAATAACTAAACAAACTAAAAATTCAAACCACAATCTGCAATCATTTTGTGAATAACTAAAATTTAAAATTACTATCCCCCAAGACCTATTCATCTCCTCTAGGTTATATTGGAAACATATATGTCACCCTCGTACCGGGTAAATGTGCAAAAATTTCATTACTGTCAGAGCTATTACTTAGATTGGTAGAATCATCTACAAATGGTTATAGAGTCCCAGGAGGATTCTTTGGAGAAAAGTAAAAAAAATGTAATGGTAACCATATACTAAAAAGGGGTTGAAATATTAATGAGAATTGACAGGAGTATTTATTTATTTTTATAAGTGAAAAAATTGACCAGAAGTCGATCACTAAAATTAATAAGGGGTAATAGTGCAATTTCACAATAACAATAGGCCGGATGGGCAATTTGGAAATAAAAAGAAAATTTATAATAAATTTCTGTGTCCGCATTTGATAAAACTTTAGTAATTTAGAAAATTTGAATTTGACTCCACTTTTTTTACATTTGGCCACCAAACTACCATTTTTTTCTAAAATTATCCTAAAAACAAATGCCTAATTACCCACTGTATGTATTACTAAATATTATAATCACACAAATCATAACATGTATAACCACTATGATGAAAGTTTTCAGCCATCAATTCTCACCATCCGATGTATATCACAATGAATCAGATGAACCCTCGATTCTAATTCAGATGTTTTATAAACCAAAGATGTTTGTGGTCCCACTAAGGCAGACAAATCTGAAAGGAATACTATAGAGGTAGAAAATACATTCTTTTGGATATATAGGCACCGTTCATGGATAGTAATATAAGAGAATCCAAAGTAGAGCACTTCATCTTAAGTGAGAAGAAAAGTTGACAAGTGTCTCTCCACCTGTAAGCTTTAGAGTATAGTTATAGCAAACAAGCATGACACGTATCATATGTCTAGGTTTTAGCTTCTCCATATAGCTTCACATCCTTTGCTGTTTTTCTTACCAAATTCTAGAACATAAAAAGAAAAAAGGCAAGAAAAAAGAAAAGAAAAGAAAGTGAAGGCTAGGGTTTGTCATTTGTGTTGGATTTGTGGGTTTGAAGGAAGAGAAAAGAAGGATGGCCACTGTGGGAAGGAACGTAGCAGCTCCATTGCTGTTTCTTAACTTGATCATGTATTTAATTGTGTTGGGTTTTGCTAGTTGGTGTCTTAACAGGTTCATTAATGGCCAAACTTACCATCCTAGTAAGGTCTAATAATTAAACACCCAGTCTCTCTCTCTCTCTCTCTCTCTCTCTCTCTCTCTCTCTCTCTATATATATATATATATATATATGTATGTATGTATGTGTGTGTGTGTGGGAAAATTAATATTATTTGCGTGTTGGTTTCTTTTTGTGCATGTGCGCCTTGCCAAAATTAATAGTAGTATTTTTGTTTGTAATAGTACCTTTGTTTTTACTCACTATTAGTTTGGCGGGAAGGGTTTAAGTTTTAGTGATTATGTGATACATGGGGGGTGATTTTTTTGCCCGGTTTAAAAGAATTGTGACAAAAATATTGATTTGTAGGTTTTGGAAGGAATGGTGCGACTATATTCTTCTTGATCTTCTCCATACTTGCCACAGTCCTCGGAATCGTATCGAAATTTTTAGGATTTGGTGGAATGATGGTCTGGCTGCAGCAGGATCAACAGGATTGGCAGCTTGAACTGTACCTGCACTAGCTTTTGGGCATGTATTATTATGTAAATTACTAAATTTTTTCAATTTAAGAAGTAATTATAAATTTTAAGTGACTAATTTTACATAAATTGTGCTAACGTAAAGGTTTTGGAAGCATTTATAATAATTAATTCTGACGTTCACCCAATTGTACTACCTCATTCTTAATAGTTTGATGTTTATAAACAATGGAAGCATATTTATAGATGTAATCCCTATAATTAATCGCCACTATCTTTCCAATTCTGCCCTTATGTAACGAATTTCTAGAAAGAGAAAGCTTGCTTGTGCGCGCACACGCACAGAGAGAGAGAGAAATGGGTTTATCGATATCGAAAAGGTGTGTCGAAGTTTGGAAAATCAAATTTGATCGATGGGGCACTAGGTTTGTCGTGTACTTGTTCTTCCAAAATACTGACTGCAACAGCAGGTATTTTGTATGGAGGTTTGGAAAATCAAATGAACCCATCATACATTTTCATTGTGAAATTGCTCAAATGTGAAGAAAAAACAATTGGGGCTATTAAACGCTTTGCTGAGATTTTGTTGCATGATCTTCATATATGTGTGGCACCCAATATTGAAGCTATGAGAGAAATAGGTGCCACAATCGAATATTATATACGGCTCTCTTGACGAATCAACCTAGAGCTTAATTTCATGACTAGTACTGATAGGTTTAAGGAGATTGTGAAGGACGTAAAGAAAATGGGTTTTAATCTTGAGAGAACGAAGTTTGCTTTAGCAGCAGTTCATGCATC